CCTACATAAAAGTCTCTTAAATGTTGAGTATTCCTATAAATTACATATATAATTCGAAACTGCACTGCCAAGTAGAAATAACACACTGATTAAACCAGCATACTGGAGTTACAGTTGTGATGCTGACATAAATTTAAAATTTCTGAAAAACACTGATAGTGTTTAATTTCAAAAAGAAAATCTAAAATTGATAAAAACTTGGGCAATAGATACTGCATCCCGATCTTTAAAATACATTGATTTGGGAGCCTTTTATTCTTATGTGAATAAAGCATCAGGTCTATTTTTAAGATCTGTAACTACTAAACATGCTTTTCAAATAAATATCTAAGAAAGTAAAATATATGACTACTCTCTATGAGAATAAATTTAAAAGATCTATCATGCACCTTTGGTAGAAACCACTAGTTAACACTTACCTCAATTCTGTACTCTTTTTTCCAATTTTTCCCAGGCATATGATCATCTGAAATAAAAGTTATATTTTTCATCCACCCTTGTAGTTAGGTGGGGACATTGTAAGTTTGGCCAATGCAATTTAAATGAGTGTGCAACTCACTGCCTTCCTTCTTGCTGGCCAGAATGTTGATGTGAGGACTGAGCTTGAACAACAATAATCTTGGATCATGAGCTGGAAGTCAAGTGTTGAAGTTGCTAGAGCAAAACAGCCTTGAGATACTTACCTCTGGAATTTTTAACTGAGAAAAAAAAAAACCCTTTCTTTTTGTTAAGCCACTGGTATGTGAGGTTTTGGTTTTATGCTGCTACACCTAATCTTAACTGATACACATTTGAATCGTTGGCATATTACTCCTTTATTAGAAATTGCAAATGAGAAACTATTTCAATACCTGAAGACCAAATTACAACACAAGATTCCATAGGCTCAAGATTTTGAGACATTCTGGAAAGAGTTTTCTGTAAAGTATATCCTTGCCGTGGCATGGCAACATCATTCTTCTTTAAAAAGGTTACTGGACAAAGATCATTTCCACCATCACCTATATAAACAATCCGTGTATAATTCACTCCCTGTTGTAACTGTTTATTTACAAATTCTACCAAAACTACATTTTTGCAAAGATTTTTGGGACACCTATGGCAAGAATGAGCATGATAATTTTCCACAGTGAGATGACCACTGCCATCAAAAGCTGCTGGATTTGTAAACACTTTATCAAACACATCATGAAAACTGGTAGCTTCTAAAACCCAATCTATGAAGACTGAATTTGAATCTGAAATAATGATGCAATCAAATTTATCCTTGTTCTTTCTTATAAAGTTTAAAAGCTCCACCATCCCTGGGGTGAAAGGCATTGATGTCATTGCTCTTTTCATTTCGTCCTCTCTTACACCTTCATCTCCCAAATACTTGAAGACTCTGCCCATAAATTCTGTCCAAAATCCTTTTTTATAAGAATCTTGTAGTTCGATAGGAAGCTTTTTCTCTGGAGCACACTGTACAATCCAGGTGTCACTATTGTCATCTATGATTGTATTGTCAAAGTCAAAAACCAGCAGAATTTTCATGGTTCCAGAAACAGATTTGAGTTACCCTGAAAAAGAAGAAATATTAGTTCCTAGACACTGTTTTACATGACCAACTATTATACTTATTTAACATTATTGAGTGTTAATCTGCTAAAACACAGCATGAATATAAATAAAAATGAGTAAGCATTTTCAGATCACCATTTAAGCACTTTTTCCTAAGAAACATAGTTCGTATTTCAGTATTTTAAGTGAATGGAAAACAGAATAGCTAAAAAGGATACTCATAGTATTACTGTGTTCCTGTGGGAATTGTTCCTTGAGCATTCAAAATTAAACCATAGACCTATCTACTGAGAATAATGAAACAATTATTCTCTTACAGTCTAATTTAGAAGAGTTTTAAAATACAGAAAAAAATGTAGGTTAATTCTTATTATTTTCATCAAGCACAGCCAAACTTATCAGCTTAATATTTATAATAATCTTCATATGAAACAACAGGTTATGTATAATACTGATTCTCTATGTACTAATCAAAATTCAGACAAAATTTAACATAACATAAAATCTTGCAAATTTTAAATAATTTTTAAAAAGGTTTTTAGCTTGTTAATGCCAATGTTATAACTAAATGGTTGCTTGATGCTGTACATGAAATTCTGAACAAATTACTTAAGAGTTCAGTTCTTATAGACTAGTAGTAACTTTTGTTAACAATTTTCACATTTATTTATATTTTCTCTAGATAGATCAGCTCTGGAATGCCAAATAATATGGGTACACCTGAGTAATCACACTGCTTATTATATGACAATTACTTAAATCTCTGTTTGCATTAAAAGATAATGAGGGGTCATTAATCATAAATCTCAAGAGAAAAGGAAAGGATAAATTAGTCAACAGATGGCATGGAGAGAATTATGATGTTAAAATAATAAAAGCTCTAAATAGTATGTGTAGACAAAAAAAATTTTTTTAAAGAGTAGTATTTTTAGAGAGATTACTATACACCAGGCCCTGGACTAAGGACTCTACAATTGTCATCTAACTGTCATAACCCTATTAAGTAGGATTTATTATTCTCATCTTAATGATATGTAAACTGGAGCATAAGTATTAGTTAAGTTGGTTAAGTATTAGTTAAGTGGCAGAGTTGGAATTTGGACTCAGGTTGCCTTGTCTCCAAAGTTCATGCTTTTAGGTACCACACTCTAGCATCTAAAAAATAGAATATTTAAAGACTATTCATCAGTTAAAATATAAAATATTAAGGTCATTTTGATTAAAATGTTTAATTACATGAAAACATTCATTAATCTCAAAGTACACACTAACTATAATACTACACCTGTGATCTCCTTTATAGCCATTCAAAGTTTTAGCAAGAAATTCTAAAAAAGAGAAAGAAAAAACTCACAAATAAGAAAAAGAAGAGACTGATTAAAAATGGAAAACATGGCATTTAACCACATGTATTCGCTGGTTTTTAACAACAAATATCCAGCAGGTGAACCTGAAAATAGAGCTCATGACTCGCATTAAGAGTAAATATTTGGTATCTCTTTAGAATATCTGGACTTCTGGTCAAGATGGCAGAGGAGGTAAACTTTGTGCTTACCTCCACCCATGATCACATCACAATTACACCTAAATTATAGGACAATCATTACTGGGAAACACCTGAAGACTAGCGAAACACCTGAAGACTAGTGAAAGAATTCCTGTAACTAAGAATTCCTATAACTAAGGAAGCCACATTGAGACTGGTAGAAGGGGTGGAGACACGAAACGGGCAGGTCCCATAACCACAGTGTGGTGATTTAAGAAAAAGGAGGAATGTCTGGGCTTTGGAGGTCCTGCCTGAAGAGAGTGAACTCTTTAGTCCAGGGCAAACTGTGCAAACCAGCAGAAATTGCACCTGAGAAAGACAGAAGGCTGCTAGAGACTGAGGCACTGCTCTTAAAGGACCCACACACAGACTCACTCATCCCAAACTCATTGCTCTAAGCTCCAGCATCTAAATTGGAAAGGTGTGGGGAGTCACTTATGGACATGTGAAATCGTATAACAAGGAACAAGGATATTTGTGTACTTGGCAACAATGTAAGAAGTTGAGATTGTAAAGCGCTGGGAAAAACCGGGAGGTAACTGTTCACATAGCAATCACTGCACATTCCTTGCTACAGTTTAGCAGAGAGTTCTGAGTTGTGAGAATCTCACTGTTCTAGTAGATAAGTAATCTGGCTAACCTTGGTTCTTGACTACTGTCTTTCTTATTGTAATGTTATAAATAGTGTGTCCTAAATAAACTCGGGGACACAGACATAGCTTGATTCTGTGATCCCTCCTGCAATTCTGTCTGTCTTCTTTCTTTTCCTCAGTCCATGCTCCCCCTTTCAGGTACCCTCAATTACTTCGTCGGCTGGCTCCAACAAGTAGCGCCCGAACAGGGACCTGAACACGGGGGATAACAGCTAGGACGTGCCGCAGAGTAAGGCGTGCGCACGCGGAATCTGGGGGCCTAAGAGTCCTGTAGGCGGCCAACCGTAAGTACGCAGGAGTATTGTAATATAGAAACTGAAACAGAAACTTAAAGAAGTAAAAATGGGCCAAGGAAATAGCCGGCTGCTTTTTGTACATATGCTTAAAAATATGCTTAGAGTAAGAGGGGCCAAAGTGGGCCAGCAACAATTAACTAAGTTTTTGCAATTTGTAGAAGAAGTATGTCCCTGGTTTCCGGAAGAAGGGACTATAGATTTAGAAACCTGGAAAAGGGTAGGACAAAAGTTACAAGACTATTATGATGCCCATGGGCCAAGTAAAGTGCCAGTGGATACTTTTGGATTATGGACATTGATAAGGGATTGCTTAGATCCCAGGCACGAGAGAACTCAATGGCAGGAACAAGGCAAGGATGCTTTTACTGGCCCTGAGGCTCCACCTAATCCTGATATTGCACCCACTGCTCCACTGCCTCCTTTTACTTCCCTCTTTTTTGATGAGAATGAGGAATCTTTAGATCCAGGAGATACTGCTCGGTTAGAGGATGAGACAGCTAAATATCATGAGGAAGAAGAGGTTGAACAATTAAAACAGAAATTGGCTAATTTGTCTTTGCAGATGCAAAAGCTGGCCATGGGGCCTCAGCCCTTAAAAGTGCCAATTTTTAAAGTTCCTCAGGATCCACCGAGGTCAGGGGGAAGGCTGACTCCAACTATAATTGCAGGCTTAGATCCCCCTCCTGTGAGTTTTGCCCCTGTTGGACCAACTGGCACCCCCTTTTGGATTAATCAGAAACCAATGCCTCAAACAGGGTTACAACAAGGGCTGCAGCAGGCTGCTTCACGGCTTTTAGGGAACCTAGAAGCCAGTTCTCTGCTGGTCAAACAGCTGGCTTATGAAAATGCAAATTCTGCCTATCAAACGACAATCAGAACTTTTAGAAAGGAAGAAGACGTAAGTGATTATGTTAGGTTGTGTTCTGACATAGGGCTGTCATATATGAAGG